CAGAATAAGCCAGTTTCATTTTAAATTCTTTTTTTTTTTAATTTAAATAATTTTTTTATTTAATTATAAGTTTTATTTTCAAATTAATTTTATTCTAGTTAATAACATATATAATAATTAGATACATCAAAGATACTTATTGAATTTTATCAGTTTTTATTAATTTAAAACAATTTTTCACCCATTTGCAAAGTGTGCACAAATTAATAATAACTAATATGCAATAAACTTTTCACTGTAAACTGTGAAAATAGTGAATTTTTCTCAATTTAGTTTGTTAAATTATAAAAGAAAGATATAAACTTGATAAAATTTAAATAAAAGGGAACTATATAAAAATAAAATAAAAGTTATTTTGACATTTTTATTTTTTAAATATTTAAAAATAATAATATAGTATTAAGCATTTAATAAGTTATTAAATTTATAATTTAATAAGTTACTATCAAATACCTATATATGTATTTATAATATTAAGTATTTAATAAATAAAATATTATATTATTGGTTGTTGTTAAACGCACAGTAAAAAATGAAAACTATAATCAACATAATAGTTCTATAAAATCTATTAATTTTTATATATTTCTGCAAATTTTTTTTTAAACTTTAAAAACAGCAAATAAACATTAATTTAATGATAATAAGAAAATTTAAAAAAAGCACGCCTTTGGAAAAAGAATGTTTTAGCATGGTTCTGTTTAAAGTAATTGCAAATGCATTCATTTTAAGTTCTTTTGTAAACGCATGTAAAAACCATGCTAAATATAATTTTTTCTACAGTTGTATACTTAAAAGAAAAAATATTGAAGAAAGTATTAGCGTGGTTTCTTTTAATGTCATTGAAACTGCGTTTTAAATTTTAGTAACTTATTTTTTTTATATTAATTATGTTTTTTTTATAATAAATAAAAAACTATTAATCGCATAATTATTTGGAAATAAAATATTGCTGAAGATATGCGTTCGTTTTTAAAAAATTTAAGCGAACGCCAACGTTTGCTTAAGTAAAAGTAAGGAAACGTGATATTCGTTTTTCTGTCTTTTTTTTAACAAACGTTCGCACGTTCGTCGATTTGTCGCGCCCTGAACATCTGTGTAACTACATAAGTGGATTCTACAGATGTAGTTACATCTTTTAAATTATCAAAGTGTAATAACATCTGTGCAACTACATCTTTGGATTTTACAGATGTATACTACCAGTAATTAATTTGAGACCTGCGGTTAAAAACAGTATTTATATTTCAAAAATAAATATACCTGATTATCATATTTGCACTTCTTTATTTTTGGATCAAAAATAAATAGAGCACAATAAATGAGTGGATAGAATAGGATATGGGCATTTTTGCACCCAAAAATTGCTTATGTACAAAAGTATACAAAAGTGGATGTGTTGAGTTTTTCCAGCATAAAAGACAATACAAGTATTATTTTTAACTGTTACTTAATTTTGATAAATGACTTGTAATTGATATTGAAAATATAATTTTTCTCATTGGTAGCTTCTTGTAGATACTGTAGATCCAATATAATATATAATGACTTGCAAATGAATATACAAATATCGTATTATTTGAACTGTTTAATTTTTTTTAGTTTCTATTTTTTCGTACTAAAATAGCTCCAGTTCGAGAATTAAGCTTTGAACAGAGAGTTCGCATTGTTTTACTGGATGAAGAAGGTGTTTCAGAAATAAAAATTGCCAAAAGAATGAAAATATCAAAGACTGGAGTTCACAAAACAATCAATCATTTCAAGGAAACAGGTCAATATTGTGACTTATCACGACCTGGACAGTCTAGAAGGATAGATGAACATGGTGATTGTCATATTACGAGATTATCAATGTCAAACAGAAAATTAACAGCTCCACAAATAATGAGAGAATACAATGAAACCGTTAAAAAACTTGTTTGTGTCAGGATAATAAGAAAGCATTTGATGAAAGCTGGACTTAGAGGGCGTGTAGCTGCCAAAAAACTGTTGCTAAGGAAGCAAACAAGGTGAAACGACTACAATGGGCTCGCAAACATGCCAACTGGACAATAAGTCAATGGAAAACAGTAGTATGGAACGATGAGTCCAAGTTTGAATTATTTGGCAACAAGAGAAGAATATTTGTACGTCGGCACCATAATGAACGTTACATTTCGCAGTGCATTGTGCCTACTGTTAAGCATGAAGGAGGTTCAATAATGGTATGGAGTTGTTTTGCAGGTAACAAAATAGGAGATTTGATAAGAGGTCATGGAATTATGAAAAAGGAGCAATACAGAGAAATTTTGGAGAATCATGCCGAATTTTTTCAGATGCAACTACTAGACATCTGCATCTTCTCGTATCCTTTCGGAAGTTTGGCTTGTCACAGTAGAAAATGATAGTTTCCGTTTCATGCAGTTTTTACGAAACAAAAAAATATCATATCATTTTGTATCATATTTTTAAGAAACAAAAGCGTGTACACGAAATAAACGTGAAAGTAGAAAAATAACTAAAAAAAAGTACTCTTCAATTTTTATTTCCAACTAAGTAATAACTTTAATACAATAATATAATACAACAATTTAATTTTATTTAGATTTTCTATTTTGTATAGTATTTGTTTCCTTAGTATTGCTGTTTTATTGTCTGTAATTTCATACAGGTTTATTTGGCTACAAATTCTTAAAAGGCTTACTTTATAAAAACATGGTCAAGTTGTCTAATAAACTTATTTTAAACATGGATAAAAGAGGTGTGTGACTGCACGCAGTTCCTGGGAAGGCTTGTATTTATATAAATAAAAAAAATTGTACAAAATACTCTTTGATAATTTAAATAAAATGCAACTATTATAAACAATTATTTAAAATATGCAAACAACCATGGTCAAGTTGTCTTAAAATATTTTATGCATGGACAGACGAGGTGTGCGACCACACACGCTTCCTCTAACAGCCTGATATATGTATATATTATATTTTTGAAGTAATTTTCTGTTGATTTCGAAAATTTATACTATATATTTTCTAAATTTATATTTTTTAAAATATATTTTATATATACTATATATTTTCTAAATTTATATTTTTTAAAATATATTGGCCTTATATGACCACGCATAAATTTCTTTGTTTTAACAACTTGACCACGGCTCTTTGCAAGTTTTGATAATTAGCGCGTTTAAAAAAAAACAAAGCAAATTAAAATTAAAATAAACAATCCATAAACTGAAAAGAGAATAAAATTCTTAAAATAATACATAATACAAAAATTAACCTAAAAAAATAAAATATTCAAAGAATGATAAAATAAATAAAGGTAAAACCAGAAAAAAAAAATTAAAACATATAAATAATGTAAACTTAATTGTAAACGAAAGTCAAAAAAAAAATTATCACAGCTCTAATAATCTTTATCATTCCTTCCCATGAATAACTAGGCTAATACAAGCACATCTATTGTGAGGGAAAGGGCCCCCCCCCTCTCCTCAGATATTTTTTTTATTTTTTTTAGAAATTGATGTTTAAAAACGTAATTTAGACTGTTTAAAAGCGTCATGAAATTTAATAAAATTTTGTGGTGCAAGTTTAAAATTTAATTAAAAAATTAATAGGATGCAGGGTGCGACAAATTGATAAAAGTGCGCGGATTTCTTAAAAGACGGACAGAAAAACAAACATCACATTTCTTTAATTTTGATTATGCAAAATTAAAGAAATGTGATGTTTTTTCTGTCCGTTTGTTTGTTTTTCTGTCTGTTTGTTTTTTTGTCCGCTTATGCAAAATTAAAGAAATTGCAGTTTGATTAGGATTTTTCAAAACGAACGTATCACTTAAGCAATTTTTTTCAAAGTAATTTTGCAATCATTAGTTTTTTATTTATTATAAAAAAACACATATTTAATATGAAAAGCAATTAATTTTACAGACTTAAATTAATGCCAAAACATAAGTACTTTTTTCGATAGCGTCACTTTTAAGTAAAATAACTAAATACGCTTTAGAAAAAAGTAATTATGTTTTAGCATGGTTTTTGCATGCACTCACAAATGCATACATAATTTTACTTAAAATGAATGCTTTTGCCAAAACTTCAAAAGAAACCATGCTCAAACATTTTGATTGCTTTCTTTTATTGAGAAAAGCAATCTAACGTTTAATGATGGTTTCTTTTATGTTTTTAGCAATTACATTAAAAGTTTAAAGTAAATGTATTAATTATAAATAAAATTTAGCATGCTTTTTTTAAATTTTTCTTATTTTCCATAAAGTGAAATAATGTTTGTTTGCATATTAAACTTTTGCAATTTTTTATTGTGCATTTATCATTTATTTGCGCGCACTTTGCAAATGTGTAAAAAAAGGTTTTTGAAAAATAAAAATTAAATAAATTTACCAAGCATCTTTGATATATTTAATAACTTACTAACTAGAATAAAAATTATTTGAATTTTATTTGACATAAATCTCTTAAATTAGACGTTCGTCAATAAATAAAGATATGCAAGTCAACGTTCATTAAAAAAAAAAAAAGTTAAAAAATAGTAGGCAGATGCGATTGTTTCAAGATATTTGTAATTCCTTTTTTTTAGTAAACAATTTCTTAATTAGAAATTTTATTTCCATGATAAAATGGTTTGTAATTATTTTTTGATAGCTTCTGTACTCATCTTTCTTTACACTCTAATCTGAATATTTTTTTCAATGATTGCCTTTAATTCAGATGCATTAAAGTACTCAGGAAATTTTGTGGGAGTTCTATTGTAATTATGGAATCAATTAAATTAAAAATTGCATTTATTTATTTTTAGCGCATTTTTTAAACCCACTAATTATCAAAACTTGCAAAGAACCGTGGTCAAGTTGTTAAAACAAAGAACTATATGTGTGGTCATATAAGACATGCCATCGCACGTCTCTTACGAGAAGGCCTGTTAATTAGTACATTAAATTCAAAAAACCATTTATTTATATAAAAAAATAACTTAACAATTTTTATATTTAAAACTTACCCAAGTGTACTTATAAATCCATTTACAGCTCCCTCTGCATATAGTGATATAATATCACCTATATGTAAAAAATGAGACGTGATTGAGGAATTCATTGAGCTTTATAAACTTGGGTGATCTAAAATTTGTTTAAAAAAGTCAAATACAATATTCAAAAAAACACATAATATACATATACACATATAAATAAAAAATGTATCTTTTTTTAGTAAGTGACCGGGGCCCCAGCCCTGACTAAAAATGAGACATTTTGCAAATCCGGCCCCTGCAAAATTATAAGATTTAGCAGGGGTTGATAGCCGAGACTAGAATTAATTTATAATTCTTTCTATATTATAATTTTATACTTACATTTACAATTTATTAAATTCTGGCATATATTTATGCCAGTATTTAATAAATAGGGACAGATACAATAAAAGGATGCAACTTGCTGAATAAGAAGTCAAGCTAGAATGAGTTTTGGATTTTTTACAACAGAGATGATAGCTTGTTTGAGCATTGACCATGATTAGAGAAACAGCATAAACGAGGAAGGCTAAAGCCTGCTGCTGCTGCTGCTAATGATGATGATGATGTTGATGACAATAATGATGATGATGATGATGATGATGATGATGATGATGATGATGATGATGATGATGATGATGATGATGATGATGATGATGATGATGATGATGAGACAATAATGATCATAACCATGATGATAACAATGACGATGATGATGACAATGATGATGATGATGATAATGATGATGATGATGATGATGATGATGATGATGATGATGATGATGATGATGATGATGATGATGATGATGATGATGATGATAATGATGATGATGTGATGATGATCATGCTGATCATAATAATGTTTATAAATGCATATATATACAAAATCAAACAAAAATTTTGAAAACAAAAATTTTGAAAAAAAAAATGCACTTTAGGATGTATAAATGTTTATGCAGCCCCAGTCACAAACCTGGCTCCATCCCCAGCTATATGTTATCAAACCCAGCCCCAGCCCCAGTCAAATATCAACCCTGGTCATTTACTATCTTTTTACATATGTTATAAATAAACATATAAGATTATAATTTATTTTAGTTTTAGCTATTATAAAACTAATAATTAAAATTTAAATGACAGGCTGAACTAATTTTTATTGAAATTATATTACTATATTATTATATACAATATTTTTTTAAATATTGTTGTCGCAAACTCAAAGTTCATAAATGTTTTGGGAACAACAATTTTGATATCTCAAAATTGCTTTTATTTGGTTTGAGGTAAAAAAAAAAAAAAGTATTTATCAACTTTTATTTTTATGTATCAAATATAAAAATGTGATGATATTTTTAAGCATCACAAATATGTTTTATTAGCTAAACTTTTGTCAGTAATTTGTAGTAAATCATGCAAGTATTACAAAATGTGTGAAACCCTAAAACAAAAATTATACACACAAAAAAAAAGTTTAAAATCTCATTAACAATCAGTGAGTTGTTCAAAATTTAATCAGTTCAATTAACTATATTATAATTTGATGTTAAAATACAGAATTAAAAAATGCTACAGTACTAGCAAATAAAATATCCTTTTGCCAAAAACTCACTTTTGCTAAAAAATTAAAAACTAAATGAATTATAAAAAGAAAAAACAAACTTTTGGTTTAAAACCAGACAAATTTAATTAAAGAAAGTGAAATGCATAACAATAGGTTGGTTAAAGGAACACTACAATTTTTGAGGTTTAATGCATTTCAACAACATGCCTAATAACTGAACGTCCTTCCAGTATTAAGCCAACTTTGTGACAAAGTTGATCATAAATTATAATTTTTTTATTACTTATATATACATTTTAAGACATTTTCTTAAAAAATTATATATATATATATATATATATATATAATATATATATATATATATATATATATATATATATATATATATATATATATATATATATATATATATATATGCATAGGCTTCAGCAGGAAGCGAGAGCTTTACCTCTCGCTCTCGGCCACACTATCCTAAAACGGTTTACAGGCGCAATTTATGGCTCTCGCAAAAGTATAATTTTGTTCACAAAAGTATAATAATCTTTGTAACTAAAATAAAAAACACAATGTCATTTAAAAAAAAATTAATTGCATAATATACTGCGATGCCGCGATAAGATTTGATGTTATAAGAACTGATGTTTTTAAGTACTTGATAATATACAAATGCAGAAATAAAAACAAACTCTTTCTTGCCTAATTTGACACCAGTAATTAACCCATTTTAAAGAGAGAGAGAGAGAGAGAGAGAGAGAGATTCTACCACAGTAGAATGGAATTATGGCCATATGACAGAGAGCCTGTTCTGGCTAATATTTGCCACCAGGCAACTTCTCATTTCCTCGTAGCTTTTAAAGTATATAAGAAAATATAAGCAAAGAGCAACAACACATTAAAATATGTGCCAATCAATTTGCTGCATAATCAATTTGCTGCATACAGCAGTCAAATGGTCAAGATAAAAATTTATGTTGAATCTTATTATGCTCTAGTATGCCTTAAAACTTTATGAAACCTTTTTTTTTCTTGTTAATCAATTAAAATTATGGCATATGAAATTAGGGCCAATTTTCAAACAGAAGTTAAGTTTTTTTTTTCAAACTGCATATTATAATATACTTGCTTGATATTCTTTAAGAGAATGCATTAAGTTTTAATAGAGCTTTAGGTTTGCCCATAAAGGTATTTATTGCAGAATATAAAATCTATACAAACATAAACAAGAAATGCAATAAGTGTCTTTATGTTGTATTGTATAGAAATACTGCATCACAGTCATTAAAACATTACAAGTAAGAATAAAACATCACAAGTAAGAATTAAACATGTCAAAACAGCCATCAAATTACTGCACTGTATATAAATTTGCAAAAATAAATTTAGAATTTTGCAAACTTGCCCTAACTTCAAAAAATTTTAATAAACTGTTTGAAATCACAAATTTCTTTTTATTTTTCAAAAGTAACTATTAATATAATATAAAAATTATTTTGCATTTGTATTGTAACTATTACTTTGCATTTGTATTGTAGCTCTATTACTTTTACACCACTGTACTGTGTATTAAGGTCTGCAAAGGTGTATTAAGGTTAGCATGATAAATTTTGAACACTTTATCTCTGACACTTTTTCCAGAAAATAAAAATAAAAACAATTGTGAAAAAATAAAGTCTTCTATATAACATAACTTTTATTTGTGGATACTTTTTGCCCAAAACATTGATTGCAAACTTGTCAGCATTAGTTAATATAGCTTCTCGTAGTTTACAGATTGTTTGCATGAGACAAACCAAACACAGTTTTAGAAAGAAATTTAAAAATTTTTTTATCATATGTCAACAGTTTAGACTTAGCTATGAAAGATAACTTAAACTCAATCTAAAAATCGAATTTAACATAAAAAATATAAATATTATTACTAAGAATATTTCTTTTCTATAATGAAATACATTAAAAAATATTTATGTTTATGGTTTATATTAAATTTAAAAGACATTTATATATATATAGGTTATTTAAGATTAAAATTCTATTATAATTTGTCTTTCCAAAGAGGTTTAACTAAGAAAAATAATTTCACACAGATTTTGGCCCTTATTTGATAAATTCGTTTTTTTTTTTTTATGGATATTATTCAATTTGTATAACTCAACACTTTTATACATTCAATATTTTAGGCATTTATACAGTTTTTAACTTTGAATTGTTTATATATAACAAACTATTTCTCAGCAATCGATATGCTCGGGTAAACTATTACTAATTGTCTTCATTCGATAACATACTATTTTATTTATTTCGAAACTAAATCAAGCAATCGCCAAAACAAAACAAAATCAAAAACAAAAAAAAATTACTTCGTTATAGTTAATAATGAAGAATTAAGATAAGAAAATGTGAACTGTTAACTTCTTTTGAAAACTAGCATATTTTAAAATTTTTTGTGCTAAGCAAAATAAAACAAATTGCAAAAACGGTAAATAACATGTAAAACATCATTCCCAGACGCAACAGCAAAACGTCGGTAAGCGAATGAAGCTTGGACCGAGACAAAAGCTCTTATCTTTTAAGACAATTAAATGCGGAAAATTAAAAGAACCGCCTAAAATACAAGGATTATAATGTTGATTTAATGTTGACTTATGCATAATTAATATTGACTTGTATGTAAATGACTTTTAATTTCAATTTAATCTGTTGTTTTATTTTATTCTATTGTGATTAGTTAACAAATTTTTTACAAAACAAAATTGGAATCTACATAATTAGTTTGCAGCAACTGCTACACAATAATCAAAAGAATTGAATTATGAAACGTATCTTTTTGTATTTTTATTGCTGTCAATACTAAAGCACTTCTAATGTTTTTTTGTTTGTTTTTTGTTTTTTTTTTGTGGAAACTTGTTTTCGTTCTTTTTAGTTTATTCATACATAAATAAAAACCAGTAATTAAGTCTTTAGTTGATTCTTATATAAAATCGATTGTGAAGTATGAAATTAAATTAACGAATTAACACTTATCTTTTTTGACATAATTAGGTTATTTCTTTTAACATAATTAGCTTGATAAATGCTAATTGTTTAAACGACTAGTTTTTATAAAAGTTCTAGCGTGTTTTTAACGCACAAACTAATGTGTGCATAAATTTTTAACGAAAACATAAATTAATAATTTATTTGATTACGAATCTATTTACAGTCCATACAATTAAAAGCGCTCTGAATCGTTTTACAATCACTAGCGTATTACGTAATAAGAACAAAATTTGTTATGTGGATGGGAAAAGTTGTGAATGTGACAAATCAATGCATACAAAAACTACACGCATAAAAACCAATTTTTATTGTTGTTGTTTTATTACATAAAATTTATATTTACAAATTTTTAGAGAACTTTCTTGGCAATATGTAGAATTTCATAAAGAATATTTTATATGTAAGCTTCAATTTTTAAAACTATTCTTTTGAATCATTTTGTAAAAATCTTTTATTAATAAAATTTATACAGCTAGTTTTGGGGCATTCATGTTTGAAATGGACACTTTGTTTCCGTACATCAAGTAGGTAAATTTTAAAAATAATAAAAAAATTTACCAACAAAATTCTTAGTTGTTGGATAGGTCCTAAATATCATGTTGCTAATAGGACGATTTAACGGGTGTGTAGGAGTAACCCCACCCCTAAAGAAGGCTATTTTTAACTATTATATTTAGAAGGCTTTTTTTTTTAAGGAATATAATCAGCTAGTTGGCCATTTGACTCATTTCGGTCGGTGATTCTTAGTTTTGAAGACCTTTTTTTTTAGAAAACAGTCAGCAGATTTTAAGGATTCGCCCCCCCCCCTCCCTCATTTTATTTCTAGATTCGCCTTTGGATGCTTAATATCATAAATTTAAAGCAAAACTTAACTAAGCCTAATACTAACTATTGAACTTTTAAAAGTTTCCTTTTAGTCAAAAACATACAGAGAAATTAAAGCAATGGATATTGAGTGGATAAAGTTGCTAAATACAGTAAAATGATTTATAAAATAAAAAAAATAGTAGTAAAAAAAAAGTAAATATTAGTCAGCGCAATTATAATATTATTTGTCATATAAATTGCGCAAAAAAGCAATGTTTAAATCTTTTCATTTTCATCGGAAATACGCATGTTACGTAACATGCTTAAATTTTAAAAATCATTTATCTCACACAAAACAACTTTATAAAATGAATGTTTTAAATGTGCATCAATGAAATATCTTTAATATTTTATGTCTATATAATGATAGTTTGCCACTAAATATATACAAAATCTATATAGTTGGAAACCTTAAAACGAATACTTTTTTTTTTTTGCATTGATAACAATCTTATTGCTTCTTTGGTCCTTATCTCTAAAACATAATAGTTTTACCAAATTTTTTAAAAATGATTTATGCTTCATTCAAATAGAAGTTTATAAAAAAAAACTTTGATAGAAAACATTTCAATTTATTTTTAATTGTAATTGTATATTGTTTTGATTAACAGTTTGTTTTAAAGACTTTGCTTATCAAAATATAAAAGTTTGTGAATAGGAGCAATTCCCGTATGAATGTAAAAATACCTTGATATTGTATTCGTAATTAAAAATAATAAAAAAAAGAAAGAAAGAAAAACCTGATCACTGAAAAATTCTTAATCAGAAATACACAAAGCCGGCAAACTATTTTTTCAACTATCTCTATACAACTATGAATTTTTAATTCAATGCCAGAATATGTCACAATAATCGTCAATATCTAAAAAAAGTTCTCTATATCTTGAAATTTCTTTATCAAAAAAAAAAAAAAGGAATCCAATAAGAAAAAAGTGAAGGTGGCACGTGCACCCTAGCCCCCATTGGTGGCGTTGGCTATGGTGAATATAGAGTTCCATCAGCAGATGATGCTGCAAACATTATGGGAATTAAATTCTTTGAACTATTTATGAAGCGCTCTGGATTATTGCATCCCCTCTTTACGATAACTATTTTTTTTCTTAGATCATCAGATTTTTTATCGTAGTTGACTTTTAGACGTATTTTAATGATACTTTAAAATTTTCTAAATATTTTCCCATTATATCAACTTCAGCACAAAATCTTTTTATATTTTGGAAAAATATGTCTCAATTGCAAGTATTAACTTACGAATAATAATTGCAAGTAAGTTATTAAATTTGTTGTCTCTATTTGCCTCACTACTTGTCCAGAATAACTTCACTATTTGTTCCCATTCATACCAATACTTGTTCCTATAAATAAATAGCTTCAATATTATAAAAATAATGAATTAATACTTACAAATCAAATAGAAAAGTCTAAAAACATTGAAAATGATATTGCTTTGCTTGATAAGTGATTATTATTATAAATAATTCTAATATTGGTATTTTTAATAGAATAAATAATATATGTTTTGGTTTTTTAAAAGGTTTGTCGTTGGTTCTGATTTTCTATATTAAAGAGTACTTATTTTTAAGGGTTTCTGATTATTTTCATAAATATTTTAGAAGCACTTATGAATAAAAAAAAATTATGAACTTAATCACATTGGCTTCTAAACGGTGCAAATTTTAAAGTTTTATATATGATTAATGTATTGCATGTTATATATTGCTAACAATATAAAGTAAACTTGTCATTATATGATTTAATTTTTTTTAATGTTTTTAAAATGTTTTAATGTGTATGTAAACTTCTGACGACAATAATTTTTACAAATTTTTTAAATCACTTTAATAATTTTATTTTCGCAGTATATAACTTTGCAACGATTAACGAAATCTATAAACTAAAAAATCCTTTTATAAAGAGAAACAACTAGGAAATGTATATGTTTATTTAACCATGTTATATTGAACAATGAAGGAAACAAAAAGATTAATTAAAGCTTCTTTTTTGAACTTTATTTGCAAGTTCATTGAAGCTTTTTTTATATAGACACAAATAAATGTAAAGATCGTACCTTGTATAGGTTATATCTTCAAAAATACTGTATTTTAACTCGTCCTTTTGAGTTTTAGAGAAGTTTATGATTTTTTATGATTTTTAAGTGACTGTAACCAAATGCTGTAGCAAATAATTACACTTTAATTTTATTAGCAAAATAAATTTATTGGTAATATCGAAAACTAGTGTAATAAATTTATTCTTAATTTCATAAATCGGGTTAAAATAAAAGCTTTTAAATAGAAAGGTTAATAGTTTGTTAAAACCAAAATTAAAGGTAGAGCAACAAGGAAATTTTAGTTATCTTGTACATATATTCATAAGTATGCATATAAAACTACATATTTAAATTGTAAATCATAAAAAAAGCAGTTGATTTTAAAAAGACAGATATTTCTGATCATTTTCCTATTTTTTTTTCCTAGTGACAAATACAAAATTCCTTACTAGTTGTAAAATCAATATATTTACAATTCATAAAAGGAACATTAACGAATTTGCTATTTAACAATTTAAAGACTCAATGTTGACAAAAGAGTGGGACAAGATATACCAAGAATACAATCTTGGGCACACTAACTTTACTTATAATAATTTTGAAAAAAATTTTACTAAAAAACTATAATATGCACTTTCCAATTAAATTAAAATTAATGAAAGAAAAATATTTAAAATGTCTTTAGATCACCAAAGTTATAAAAAAATCCTCAAAAAAAAAAAAAAAAAAAAACTTTATATCAAATACTTAAAAAATAGAAATGAGCCTAACTTATATGTTTAGAAACAATACAAAAACTTGTTTGAAAAATTTTTTAAATTTTAAGAAAAACTATTAATCAAATAAAAGATAAAACAAACTCAAATGGTGGTATTAAAAAAACTAGGGATGTCATAAAAGAAATAATTGAAATAAAAAACTGCAAATTAAATAGTTTACCTGCTCAGGTTGTCATTGATAATAAAGAGTATGATAACAATAATGCAGTTTCAGAAAAATTTAACCGTTTTTTTGTTGGGCCTAAATCTGACTTCAAAAACCCACTATCTAAACAACTCATTTTAAACTTATCTAACTAATGTCAACTACGAACTAATATTTAAAGAAATAAAAATTGATAAACTCGTAAATGCAATAAACTCTCTTAAAATAAACAAGTTTTTAGGTATAGATGACATTTGCAGTTTGGAGATACGCAAGCCTATCTTCAAAATATTCAAATCATCAATTAAAACTGGAACCATACCAGATAAACTAAAGGTAGCTAAAGTTACACCTAGTTTTAAAACCGGTGAAACATTTCTAATAAATAATTACAGACCAATCTCAATACTTCCTGCTTTTTCTAAAATATTTGAACAAATAATCTACAAGAGATAATATGAATATTTAATTCAAAACAAATTTTTAAATAAAAAACAATTCGGTTTTCAATTACAACATTCAACCCAACATGGAATCTCAGATAAAGTTACTAGAATAAGAATAAGTTCTTTTGATAAAAAACAATTTGTATTAGGAACTTTTATAGACCTATCCAAAGCGTTTGATACAACTAATCATGATATCTTACTTAAAAAAATGGAAAAATGCGGAGTAAAAATTACTACCCTAGATTGGTTTAAAAGTTATCTGTACAACAGACAACAATGTGTTATTTTGAACAATAATAAATATTCAAATTTATTAAAAATAAAATGTGGAGTTCCCCAAGGTTTCATTCTTGGACCAGGTTTCATTCTTGATCTCCTACAGTCCATAAAAAAACTCGATGCATTAATTTTTGCTGATGACAGAAGTTTGTTTTATTCATCAGCATCAATTAAATTGGTGAAAAAAAGAACGGTTCTAGTCCAATATTTTCATTTCAAGATAATCAATGTTTAGGTTTTAAATATTTTCATTTCAAGATAATCAATGTTTAGGTTGAGGTTTTAATGAGGTTTTAAATATTTTTAGTAAAATAATACAAGTCCATCTTTCTTTCATTATAAAAAATAATGATAGAAAAATAGTATTATTTTTGTAGTACACAGAGAGATCGACATAAGTTAAATGAAACTATGAAAAAAAGTGCAAACAACAAAAAATTGACTACTACTGTTCTTCTTCTCACCAATTCAATTGATGAATTCATTTAAAGATCTCTTTGAATGTGTGAACGACAACCTTGAGAAGCTAAACTAAATATCTTATTTAAATAAATTATCTTTAAATACAGAAAAAACAAAATACATCTTGTTTTATTCAAACCAGCAGAAAATAATAAACCACGTATGCTGCCATTAGTAAAAATTGATAACATAAACATCAAAAGAACTGAAACAATTAAATTTCTGGGATAATTATAGACAAAACGATTTCTTAGAAAGCCCAAATAAAAACAAAAATTACAAAAATATCAGAAAATATCGGCATTTTCTACTAAGTCTATACTTTTCCAAGAGAATCTAAAAATTCTGTACTTTTCTTAAATACAAAGT